TTTGCAGCAAATGGGCGATGAGTCCACATTGTACTCACGGTCACTGATGTGGGTTGTATCTGCAGCTGAGTTACTACCCATTGTTTGGCTAAACCAAACCTTAGGACACGTTCGCTTCATGTGGCCAATGCATTTGCAATTCTCACATTTTCTTGGTCTTCGATAGTTGGACAAGGCCTGTCCCAGGTTCCCTTGTATCTTCATAAGATCAGGTTCTTCTACTCCAAATTGTCGTGGGATTGAATGTTTCCCTTTGTCTCCATTCTCATCGTTACGATTTCTCTCATATAACTCCTTTATTCGGCTCGTCAAACTAAAACCTAACTCCATCATGGATAATCTGGATTTTCGGTGACTGGGGAATTGAGACACGTTCCGTCACTCGGAGTACGAAACGTACCTCATTTCCCGTGCTTGGGCTAACTCCTATCCCAAGCACGATGCAATATGCATGATATGCATGAAATGCAACTAAGATACAACCTAACATGCACAATGCTATGAGATGGCATACACGATGCACGAGGTAACATGGCATACACAATGCGCTAACATACAACCTAGCATACGCAATGCAAAATGGACTTACACCAACATGAGTGGACCTCAGTCGCACTCGCATAAGAGCCCATAAGATGAAAATGAGACAACTCGAGATGCGTGCACGCATGCACGCAAACCGAGGACCGACCCTAAGGCACAAAATGCCACTCTAACAAGACATGGCAAGGAATGGAAAATGGCATACAAACATGCAAGTTTCAGCAGCAAAACATGACCCAAAACAGCCCCGAATCATGAACACATGGCACCCGATGCATGAAAATGGTCCCGAAATGCAAGATTAAGCACATGAAATGACTTGTAGCTACATCAAGCATGCATTATTTGATCATGACATGTGAAGACAGATTCAAGGCAGCCCCAAAACAAGCATGTTTACAATTCTAAGTGAGGCCAAACAGCAAACACAAATAGGGAAAAACTAGCATGCAAAAATGGCCCTAAATGTGAGATAAAGAAGTGAGTCACAGCTGCAGACTTCAAAAAGATGAGGACCCTTCAAAAATGTTGAATAGGGGCCCGAAATATGATGTTTTACAGTTTACAACAAACCCCAAAAACCAACACAGGTATGGCTAAGCTCTCATGCAAGAAATGGGCTAAAAGAGGGATATAACACAAAGTATACAAAGGATGCCTCAAACAACGAAAGACCCTTAATGAAACATGAAGATGAGGTCAAAATAAGGCCATTTGTAGTTCAGATCACAGCCCAAAAACAGAAGAAAAAGAGGCTAACAAATCATGCAAAAATGGAGCCAAAAGAGAGATATAAAGGCAAGTGGTAAATGAAAGCCTCAAACAGCAATGAGCCCTTCAACAATGTTGAAGAAGGGCTCAAAATAAGCCACTTTTTAGTTCATGACAGAGCTCAAAACAGTTTATACATAAGCCAAAAATACTACACAAGAAGATAGCATACAAGGGAGATAATGAAGCAAGTGCAACAAGGAGGCCTCAAACAGGTAAATACCCTTAAATAAACATGAAAAATGGCTCAAAATAAGCCTAGTTCCAGTTAGGGTCGGAGCCCAAAACAGCAAGCAAGTATGGCTTAGAAAGGATGCGAAATATGGACAAAAAATGGGGAAATGGAGCTTACCCTTGAAGACAAGTCTTTGGCACCCTTTTGGCTTGAGATGCAGCACTCCTAGGCCTTGAAGAACAACCTCCAGCTGCTGGAATGAAGGATGGAAGGGTGGGGCTATGGGTTGGTGAAGGAATGGTGTAGGGTTTGAGAGGTTTGAAGCTTGGAAGAGAGGGAGATGGAGGTGTATGTATGCAAAGCTCTTAGGACAATTTTGTAACCCTCAAAACCAGAGCTGGAGGCTGGTTATATAGGCAAAAAGAGGGGGGGAAATGGAGGGAAACAATCAAGTTTTCCCCCAAAAATGCACCCCCCCGGATACACAATCTGGGGGGAAAACAGATACACAGCTGTAAGGAACAGGGTGCCAGGAGCATGGCCAGCCAGTTATCTCAGTTGCAGGTGGCCGTCCGGCTACATGGCCAGCCGGCCAAAGGTCAAAAGGTTCAAGTATAATTAGTGGCCGGCCACCACAAAAAGAGAGCCTCTGATGTGTGCACAACACAATCCTGTGGTTAAACACTGGAAAAAGTGAACCAGGAGAGAGAACAACCCACTTTTATGAGGGGTTCAAAAGGGTCAGAAAGGATTAATGGCCGGCCACCAAATATTGGTGGCCTCCCAGATGTGTACATCACAAATATGGGATTTAGGGTTCAAGAAAATGGCCCAAGGGTGTTCAACATTGGCTTTGAAGTGAAGAAAATCGGGCGACGGAGGGCGATGAAGGGATAAAGTTGGCTGACAAAACAATTACTGGCCTCCCACCCCTCTACGGCCTTCTTACCACTGAAACAGAGGTCCCTGCCAAAAATGAACCAAAACCGATGCAGAATGAAGGTTCGGGGGCCGAAACGCGCAGCCCGAGGCCCCGAAAACTGGCTGTTAGGCACCGGGAGTGGTGTTCGACCACGAAGTCGGTTTCCCAGGCCACAGTGTCCCTCAAAAGGGAGCAAATAAGAAGTATGCCAAAAACCGGAGCAAACGGAGATGGTTACGCGGTCCCGAACCGAGGCACACGGCCAACGGCTCCGAAAAACCGGAAACCGGGCTCCAAACGGGCAAAATGGCCTACGACCACAAAACGTAGCCTACGGCCACTGAGAGATGGTCTACGAGACCTCTCCCTCCCTTTGGGGAGAGAAACAGAGAAAACCGAGCCTGGTTCGCAAACCGAGGTAAGGCGTGAAAAGAGTTCGAAAGTCCGAAGGCAAGGCTCGCAGCCAAGATTCTGAAACTTCTGAACGAGCGCGATATGCAACATCACCAAGCGCTCAATCGGTGATGTCTGAGTCTCAAGGTCGGTCAAAAATGGAGTGTCTACAGGTTGCTGTTGATATAGGCCCACCATAATTTTACTAACAATTTCCCCATCACTTTCATAGTTAACATGAAATTATTTCACAACTCCTATTCGTAATTTGTAATTCATATACCAATCGGCTTAAACATAAAGTAAACTAGTTCGTTGGACTAATTTGTCCAACTAATACCCAAAATATTTAGGTGGCGACTCTGTATCTGGCAAAGCAGTCCATGTTTGGCACTACTTTTTCAAAAATCTGTTTCTCAAAACGATTTACCAGATTTGGACTCTTTGGTTCAGATTAAGAACCGCGACAACAAAAATCGCGAGTCCGAACTGTAGTAGCAGCGAGGCCCACGCGGGCGCCATCTACACTAATACCCAAAAATTAACTGGCACTTGGATTATACAGAAAATGCATGTGCTGGGATGTAATTTTGCAAAACCACATAGACAAATTCCATATTTTAATCAGAAGACAAAATATAATACTAATTTACCGAAACAAGTCATAACAAATCAATACGAAGCCAAAACACGTCATTAGTTGTCAACCACACCGCGGCAACCCTTTAGTTAGATCCAACCAAATTTGGAACAGAAACAAGAAACCCCCAATAGGAATATTGGAATATAGACATAAGCCAATTTCCAACCCAAAACAATACACAGACAACAGACACCCATATATATCTCACCTTCATTTAGTTCTAAAAATGACAAGTCACTGCAAACAAAAATGGCAAAATCACTCTAAACAATATGCAAAATAACTGTTCCTGGCCTTGTACATAAGCAACATTGTGCCATTTCCTGGCCTTGTACATTAGCAATTATTTACACGTTACGTACAGCAATCCATGCAAAATCATAACTACGGACATATTTACCCTATTCTTGCCAATGATGTGTTTTTAGAAGCTAGTACTGTGTACCTAATAAATTAAAGGAATAAGTAAATCATACAATTACCTGATTCACCTTATAAATTGTGGTCGAATCATTTTTGCACACTTGTGCTTCGACACTACTGTATTAGCCCACAGGATGTTTTGAATCAAGGGAAACATCAAAAAATAGACGTCGTTGCTTAATGTGCGGTGTACTTGGATCCACCAACCCAGTTTTGCAGCGAATGGGCGATGAGTCTGCATTGTACTCACGGTCACTGATGTGGGTTGTATCTGCAACTGAGTTACTACCCATTGTTCTGCTAAACCGAACCTTAGGGCACGTTCGCTTCGTGTGGCCAATGCATTTGCATTTCCCACATTTTCTTGCTCTTCGACAATTGGACGAGGCCCGTCCCTAGTTCCCTTTTGTTTTCACAAGATCAAGATCTTCTACTCCAAATTGTCGTGGGATTGAATGTTTCCCTTTGTCTCTATCCCCATCATTGCAATTCCTCTCATATAACTCCTTCAATCCGCTCGTCATCAGAAGACATGCATCCCTAGCCTCTTTGAAACCTTCGGTTGATTGCGAGGCATAGAAACACCTTTCATTGTAAGAAAAACTCAGTATCCCATAGCGAGCAGTCTGTGTTGTAGTACTATCAATTGAGGGTTGACGCCATAGCTGGCCATCCTTACTTACAGCCCTTGTCCATCTATGCAGCATAGAAGTTGAGGGAATTTGCGTTAAATTTTCAGCTTTCATAACGCATATCATGTGACAGCAAGGTAGCCCGAACAACTCAAATTTCATGCAAGAACATATCATTGCAGCATCCACTGGATTGTGTGTTACTATCCACGATCTATCATTCACCTTGTACTTATGAATATAGTAGCATTTCTGACCATCCGGCAAAGGGAACACGTCTTTCACATTCAACTTCCCCTCTTCTAAGATTTCATCACAAAACATTTTAAATATATTCCGGGTGAATAGCTCAGCTCCATGTCTATATATATCTCACAATGAAGTAATCAATACCGGAAAAGTGTTATTTGTTTTGGCATCATCTTCAGCCTCGTTATACCTTATCCTTGCAAGGGCCTGATCATAGTGCCTAACAAATTCATATAGCTTCAATTTATGTTAGAGGAAGGGATTGAAATAAGCATTCATACTCTCCGAGCACTGAGTGCTCTTCATCCTAGCAAAGAAATGGCCATGCATATATGCCTCAGCCCACATATGACGCTTCTCATATGTCTCCAACACCCAGCTGTTGTTTTCAAGTCCAAATTTTTCGACCATTCTTGTCCAACCGTCCTCAAGCTTTGCCTCATCCGTTTCCATCTCCATGCACTGCTTGAAACTCTTCATCCTAGCAAAGAAATGGCCATGCATATATGCCTCAGCCCACATATGACGCTTCTCATATGTCTCCAACACCCAGCTGTTGTTTTCAAGTCCAAATTTTTCGACCATTCTTGTCCAACCGTCCTCAAGCTTTGCCGCATCTGCTTCCATCTCCATACACTGTTTAAAAGCATGTGCAAAGCCACTTTTGTGAACATTTGACACAGCATTTTTCCCAAGATGCCAATTACATAATCGATGTCTTACGTCTGGAAATACTCTTCTGATTGCCTCTCCCATCGCCTTATCCCCATCTGTCAGTACGAACACAGGTGCTTTATTGTCTATCACCTCCATAAATGTTTCCAAAACCCATGTGTATGTATCAATTATCTCATTAGCTAGCAAAACACATGCAAATAGCGTGGTCGTGAAATGGTTAGTCACACCAGCCAACATGACAAAAGGTTTCTTGTACGCATTGGTATGGTAAGTTGAGTCAAATATCAACGCATCACCAAACTTTGCGTAGTCAGCCAGCGATTTCGAATCTACCCAGAACAGATTTTGTAACTTGTTATCCTTGCACACATTATACTTGTAAAAAAAACGTAGATCAACATTAAGTTTTGCACACAAGTAAACCAAAGCACCCTGCACATCACCATCCTCAACTTCTACTCTACGTTCGGCTTGAATGTGGTTGTGCAGATATGTACTGTCACGACCCAAACCCGTCCCTATGGGTTTAGCACCGTAACCGGCCAGTAATCCGAGATTACCGAAGGCCTGCTTAACAGTAATACAGTAATACAGAGTACAGGGGCTGGCGGAAGCCAATACAGTAAATAAACAATGTCCAATGAGCTGTGACAGTCTGCATGCCAAGAAGACTTTTCATTCAAATATACACAGTCAGACAAAACAGTATATACATATATACAATCATTCAGTACAGTACAGTCTATACAGTTGTACAAATCAGACACAGAGACAGACGGGGAAATTAAAAACACCCCTAAGCCGTAGCTTGACAGGCTCGGAACCTCGCATTGAGGCACATAGGTTGGCTCGACAAAACTGGAGTTTACCCCGACGCTTCTAGCTGCGGTCTGGTGCCTGTACACCTACATATATATATGAGCAGTGAGCTAAAGCCCAGTGAATAACACAATGCGTAAAGGGGTTAAGAATGAATGTCCTTACAGTGATGAAAACAGTTTGTTAATTCAGTATATCAGTCATTCAGTCATATGTGGTACATCTATTAGCATAACAGTATAGTAAACAGTAGGTCTTAAAAGACCGAACAGTAAATGATGGCCATCAATCAATAACAGTAGTGGTTCCAACAAGGGAATCGACAGAGATCTCTGTAACAGTAACAGTAAACAGTAGTTGCTAAGGATGCCACAATACAGTTCAGAATATAGGACATACATTCATTCAGTTAATAGTAATCAGTTCAGAAAGTAGTACAGTTCAGTTGTTCAGAAGATAATCATTTTGAACATATCTTTACATAGTTGTTACTCACAGAGTTCTGGGCTGCAGTAAGCTAGAGCGCGTCCCCAGTCGCCAACCCTACACAGTTACAGATTGAACACACACTAAGCTACACAATTGGGAAAGATAATAACTTAGTCCCTAATTTGCCTCGGTGTGGTTCTACATCTCTATCCTCATTAAGATGCCTTAAACTAGGCCTAATAATGCCTAGGATGAGATGAGGATGCAAAGATGCACTTTAAAAACATTTTCATACTTTTCAGAAAACAGGGGTCACGCTCGAGTGTAGGTTACTCTGCTTGAGCGGACATGCAGACAAGGGTTTCCGCTAGAGCGTATACTTACCCGCTTAAGCGTTCTGCAAAACAGTCAAAAGTGTTGGATAGGTGAAAATCACGCTCGATTGGGCGCTCGACACCCGCTCAAGCATGAGACACAATGTCCCGCTCGAGCGTCAATTCATCTTTTCTGCCAGTCACCCCGCTCGAGCGTGAGTCCAAATTCTGGAAATTCCAGATTTGAACCTCAAGCTCAAAACCAAGTTTTAAACCATAAATTTCGATCCTCTTGGGCCAATTTTCTAGAAAACACATCAAAACTCATACTTTAACATGATTCCAAAGCTCAATTGTAAAATCAAAGCCCAAGGGTGTTTCAAACAACTCAATTCGAACCAAATTTTCATGAACATAAAGAACATGCAAACATGCATGAGTTTAGCTAGCCTCCAAGCTTCCAAAACATGCTCCAAGGAGCCAATTCTTTCCAAAACAAAATGGAATCATGGACTTCACATAATTATGAGCATGCATGTGACAATTCTCTATGGAATCAACTCAAAATTCAATAGTATAGGCATGCATGCATGAATTAAGCTATAATTCAACAATTAAGAGCCATAACTTGGCTCTAGACTTCAACTTGCTCAAAACCATGCAAGAATCAATTCAAAACATACACAAGAGGCAATGAATCTACCTTAGGTCTTGTAGTTCAAGATGTACAAGCTCAATTTTGCAAAGAACTCTTCAATTTACTTCAATTACCAAGCAAAACTCAAGATGAAGCTAAGCTTTCTCCTTTCTCTCCCTCTCTCTCGGTTAAGTGTCACTCAAGGGCTGATGAAATGTTTTGTATAGAGTGTAATAAGGCTCAACAATAGTCCAAGTAGTGGGCCACTAGGTGGCACCAATGTAAATAAGGCCAACTATGCAATTTATCAATATTTAATCTAATTTAATCATACCTAACCAGTTTTCAGGTAAATATGTCATAAAATCCTATTAATTCTAAGGATCACAAATCATCAATCAATTTCAGATTCGGCTGCCGATAAGGCCTTCAATTCGCCACTTAAACATGAAAACACGAACAGATCAATTAACAATCAACAGATAGCAAATGCATTTAAACAGATACAGTCAATCAATCAGTTTCAGATTTCAGTCAGTCAGTTCAGTATTTCAATCAGTTCAATTACTTCAGTTATCAATCATAACCGGTCTCAGTTTAGCAGTAATCATTGGTTATTCGGTAAACAATGACGAGGGTTGTTACATGTACATATGAAACCAATATTCTCATAACACCCAGATTGATTTACCATATAGTCCATGATTTGGCTAGTCTTCACACCGACGTTGCGCATAGCCATTGCTTAAGCTTTGTCAACGCTATTTAAACCCCGATATGACATCAAATACATCACACAGTATTGTTCCACCAATTCATGGTTATGGTCTGCGATAAAGTAAGTCACAACATACTTTCCCCCTTCACCAGCCTCTGGATTGTACCATATGCGAAATTGTGCTTTGCAACCTACTCTTATTAGTGCCTTGAGCTTTGTCAGCGCTATTTAAACCCCGATGTGACCTCAGATACATCACACAGTGTTGTTCCGCCAATTTATGATTGTGGTCTGCAATGAAGTGAGTCACAACATACTTTCCCCCTTCACCAGCCTCTAGGTCGTACCATATGTGAAATTGTGCTTTGCAACCTACTCTTATTAGTGCCTTGGGAGCTCTTCTATTCTCTGCAACACGGTCTAAGTATTTTGGTAATCTCTGACCTTCCCCTGAATACAACCATAGCATACTAACAACCTTTCCTTGTTTATTTGTGTTAAATCTGGATTTTCGTATACTAAATCCATTGGCTTTAGCATACGCATTGTAGAAAGCTTTTCCATCTTCGACATAATCAAATTTCTGTTCCAAGACAGCACATTCAACCTCACCAATCATGTCATCGCCGTGAGCATCGTCAACCATTTCTTGTTTCACATCGGCTCGACCATCTTCAACGTTTATGTTGGTTGCTTCTTCATTGCGCGGACCAACTTCGCAACCATGACAACGTTCCGCCCGACTTTCATTGATTAAACGAATGTCATCTGCTTTATTGAAATGTTCTAATCAACACCTTCACTTTTAACTTCGGCTGGGGCCATACTGTGCATGGCATTAGTACAAACAATTACTTGATGACTGAAAAATGTTAACACAAAGACAAACACAACATTTTAACACGGTTGGATTGTTTGTGCAAACACAAACACTCAATTGAGAAAGAGAGAGGTTACTTGGTGATGAAGGGGTTTCGATTTGAGCAAAGCATAGAGGGGTTAAAGTTAGGATGAAGATTTAGTTGAGGGAAAATCGCTGAAGTGAAGATGCCAGAGAGAGAGAGAGAGAGAGAGCTCCATACCTAATATCTAGTTTGAGAGAACGCCTTTACTTCAGCAATGGAACCCCACAGAGCCTTGTAATTTCGTTGTTGCTGGAAATCAAAGGTTGTACTGTTCCCTACAGAGCTTCGTCAATGGAACCCAACAGGGGCTTGAACACACTCAACCTTACAGAGATTAAGACAATAAAAGAGAGAGAGAGAGAGAGAGTGAGTGAGGGAAGCGAGATGCAATCATGCAAATAAGAGGATTAACTGGTTGCCCCAGTTTCACATTTTTTACGATTAAACAACTCAATGGTCTTGATCAATTATTGTAATATAACGGCTAAAAATTGGATTGCATATGGTATGCAACCTTAAGAGGGTTGCATACTTAAACAGCACCCATTTATCAATACCCTATTTTTCTCCCACCCTCACCCTGCCCCATTGTCTCTCTCCAATTTTTCTTGGCTTGATATAATTCAAGATGAGATCGGAGCACTACAAACTCACCCCAATGTAATCCATAAGTCAATGTTAAGTTTTAAAATAGGAATCGTAGAGATTCATTAATTTAGATTTTATAATTCATTCACAATTACATGGCAAGAGAATATAGTTAAGTGTCAAGTTTATGATAAATAAAAAATTGATATGTAACTTATTGTATCATTGTGAGCAAAATTAGAAGAATTTTTTTTTAATGGTCTCAATCTTTTTTCAATTATGAGTTACAAAATATTGGTGTCCATTGCCAATATTTTAAATTTAATAACAATCTTCACAATATATTTATTTTATGTTTGAATCATGAATTTAATAATAATTTTTTTCATAAATTTTCAGTTACATTTATTTGTATGACATTTGTATTTATGAACTCATTGATCAGACGCAGGAACTGCGGACGCATAAAATAACTTCCCTTCTCAACTTGGTGTTTGGGAATAAACTAAAAAAATTCAAAAAATCAAAAAATTCAAAATACCTTTTCCAATTTTTTAACCTTTTTTTATAAAAAAAAATTAATAATTATTAAAAATATAAATTCATCACATTATTTTGAAAATCCAAAGTTTATTTCCTATGTTTGAACCACTATTCTCAGGTTTAATGCTTACTAACTATAATAAATTATTTAGAGTCTCTCCATATAGGAGGTTTGTTCCGATTTTAAATAGAGCTCCTATCAATGAATGGTGGAATTGAGTCTTCAGAATTAGTTGAAGTGTGTATAAATTAATTCGGACATCCGATTATAACCAAAAAAATAAATAAGTAAATAAAAACTATAAGAATATCAGCTCTTCACTTCACTCTTTAATGACGATTGTGCATGTATCACCTACAACCAGTTTGATTTATCAATGATAATTTTTTACTAATTAATTAAATTAGAAAAAAATATATTTTAAATGGTTTTCACCATACTAATTTTACCAATTAAAAAATATTAGTGTCTTGCGGACACCGTTTTCTACATAATTTTTACTATTTATTTATTTATAATGGAAGTGTGACATGTAGGATGAGTATCACTCTTCCACACTGTTTGGATCGTGTGCGGAGAAAAAAAAAATTATTGTAATCTCTGATTTAGATAAGAAAAGAAAAGAAATATATCTTTTTTCACTAATCATATGTTTGTTCGGATGAATAAAAATGCAAAGTAAGTGAGAAAAAGATATGAGAGTTTTTTTTTTTCTCCCCACTATTATACTTTAAAATTATATTTAAATTATAAATTTAAGTAAAGATTTAAAAACAAAAAGAAAAAATATTGAGTAAAATGTAAATCAAATATAAATATATTTTACTTTTATTTTACTCACATTTCTGTTTTACTTTCTAAATTTCTATCCAAATCCATATTCTAAACATAATCTAAAAATCAATTTGCGTATTATAAATATTTGATAACTAATCAGTAAATTCATAACCTAAACACAATTTAAGAGGCAATCTTAGTATGAAAAATATTTTAAAATCAATTAAATTTGTTCCGCACCAAATCTCACTATTTTTAATAATAAATGAAATAGATAAAAATAATAGAATTTTTTTAATCACTTTTCCTCACATTTTCTTTTCGTTTGTCACCAACGGTGCCATTAGATAAAATTAAAAACTAAAAATTAAGTATTGAAAATTGAATGTTTAATTTTTTAAGTTAAAAAGCTATTTAATAAAAAAATTAAGTGAGGAACTAAAACAAATTATTTGATATGCATAATATTAAATTTAAAAATTATATTTTTCAATGATGTATTGTGACAGTGAGTTGGTGGTGGTGCCAACAATGGTTGCTTGTCCCACCAATGACAATAGTGGTGCAAATAGAGTGGTTACAGTAATGGTAGAGGGGTTAATGTAGTGTAGATGAAAAGGGGCGGTGATAGTGATGCAATGATAGTAGTTATTGTAGTAGTGGAATGATGGCAGTAATTATGATAACGGTGACAATGGTTAGGAAGTTGAAGAATTGTAAGAGTTGTTGTAGTGGTGGTGGTCTCACTAGGGCGACTATGATAGTGACGGTGAAATAACAATGGCAATGGTGATGAATGTCGTAGCCGTGAAAAGGTAGTAGATGATAGTGGTGGTTGTGGTAATAATAGTGATGGAGGCGGTGGTGACGTAGTAGATGGTGGTGGCAGCAACGGTGGTGATGCTTGTGGATGTTGTGAGGTTATAATGGTGTATAATTATTTATAAATTCAGTTAGAATTAAATAAATTTTCGATCACTTAAAATTTTCTTAATTTTTAATTTACATTTTAATTTTTTAAGTAATACCATTTGTTATTATCAAATAAATTTGATTAATTTTCACATAATACATTTACTTTTAAATACTGAATCAATTTATCAAATACTACTTAATTAGACTATCTTCAACCCAGCACCTTTTGTTTTATCAAATTTAAATTTGATAAAAAAAAATGTACCTTTTGCTGCTCCAACCCTATCACCAAATAAGTATCAAATTCAAGATTTCTCAAATTTTTCATCAAATTGATGATGGATGTGTCTTTCATCAAATTATTGTTCATAGCCGTTAAAACTGCAAGTCATTTTCATCACCAGATGACATGCCGGATGTCAAGCAGATTGTCCCCCCAGATGACCACCTCCTTGTAAAAATTTGTGAAAAAATTACACTGGTCAATCGACTGGCTGGACACCCACTCAGTTGATTGGTGTTTTGATGAAAGTTCAAAATACTCCGTTAAAATGCATGATATCAAATAGAGTTTTTGTTCAAATTTGGTGAGAAAAAAAAAAATAACATTAGAGATACTCTTAACTAGGTATGTGATTAAATTTTTTTGTTATTTTTTCTTTCGTTCTCACTAAAACTTTCTATCCAAGTATTGTTAGAATGAGCAATAGGCTATGAAAAATAGTGAGTATACCGTGCACCATATGTATCCTAATTATATTATTTTTTAATTATAATATTGTTTTAATTGAGATTTTTAATTATGTTTTATATTATATTAAGTAATAATTCTAAAGTACATATAATACATTTTTTTTTTTTCATTATAAAGTACATATAATACATATAATTTTAAGAAACATATATGATAATGGCTCACTTTGGGAAGCTAGCAAAAAAGTAGTTTTTAGCTTTTTTTTAGCCAAAAAAATTAAATTTTTTGCCCAAGTCACTTCTCAAAAAGTTAACTTTTTTGACTAAAAAAATCAAAAGTCAACTTTTTATCAACTTCTCAAAACACCACAATGTTTCCCTAAAAATTTTATGATTATAATATTATTTTAAAAAATAATTTTATCATGATGCAAAAATAACATAATTATTCATTATTTTTCACCAGTTGTGCACCAAACAATAATGATTCATCCTATTAATTTGGGAGCACTAATTGATCACTAATGATGTGAAAATTAAAAAAAAAAAAAAGAATAAAAAAAACTTAAGATCAAAATATCACATCAATAATCAATAAGTGACACCTTAGTGGTCTTAAATATTTTTCGTGCACCCAATTACATATATATATATATATATATTTTTGGTCTTTTAAAAAAAAAAAAAAGGAAAAGAAGAGAAAAAAGAAGAAGAAATGAAATAGACTGGTTGGTAGCAAATGTTTCTTCTGTGTGTTGAATAATCTTTTTGGGTGCTCGGACTTCTCTAAGGTACGAACGATCTCATCTCCTACTACCCAATCCTTGCTTCAATTAACCATCAATTATATACTCTCTAAATCTACTTCTTCGATTTCAATTTCAATTTCAATCTCAATCTCAATCTCAATCTCAAATCTCTCAAAATTTCAATCCTTCCGATCATATTTTCACGTAATTTGCTCACACCTATCAATCAATAGACACAATTCTAGGGTTTCAATTCCTAAATCTCGAATTCTTCGATCTCAATTTTATCTCTGATTCGCATATCATCAATGGACGACCTCTGTTTGATCGATCCATTATAGCAATTTTTTTTACATATATATATATACACGACTATAAGCAACAATGGCGAGCGCCGGAGAGGAGAAGGACAACGACGCCGTTCTGAGCGACGTTGAGGCCGACGATCCGGCACCGATTTCCATCAATTCGCCGGAAGATGTGTCGGTGGAGAGGTTTAGGGAGGTTCTCGCGGAGCTTGATCGCGAGCGTCAGGCTCGCGAATCGGCGGAGAATACGAAATCTGAATTGCAAGTCTCGTTCAATCGTCTCAAAGCCCTAGCTCACGAAGCAATCAAGAAGCGCGACGAGAGTGGGAAGCAACGAGACGAGGCGGTGCGCGACAAGGACGAAGCTCTGAGATCGAACGAGAAGTTATCAGCTGAATTAGCCGAGGCTTGTAGAGTAAAAGACGAGACTTTGATGCAGAGAGACGAGCTCGCGAAGCAATTCGAAGAAACCGTGAAGGCGAAGGAGTCGTCGAGGTCGGAGATCGAGACTGCTGCTCAGATGTTAGTTACTGGAATTGAGAAGATTTCAGGAAAAGTTAGTAATTTTAAGAATTTCACTGCCGGTGGATTGCCTAGGTCGAATAAGTACACAGGGTTGCCTGCCGTTGCTTATGGAGTTATTAAGAGAACGAATGAGATTGTTGAAGAGCTTTTGAGGCAGATTGATTCGACAGCAAAATCTAGGAATGAAGCTCGGTCACAGATGGAGCAGAGAAATTATGAGATTGCTATTGAGGTTTCGCAGCTTGAGGCGACAATTAGCGGGTTGAGAGATGAGGTTTCAAAGAAAACTTCTGTTGTAGAGAATTTGGAGAAATCTATGGCGGAAAAGGATGAGAAGAAAGCTGATATGGAGAAGGAGATGTTGGAGAAGCTAAATTCGGTGGAGAATGAGGTGGCGGGATTGAGGGAGCTAGTCGGTGAGTACGATGATAAGTTGAGGAACTTGGAGTTGAAGATGGATTCACAAAGGCCTCTATTGGTTGAGCAGTTGAGTTTAGTATCGAAAATTCATGATCGGCTTTATGATGTTATCAAGATAGTTGATGCAAGTAAAATGGATCAGTCAGATTTGTCGGAGTCCATGTTTCTTCCCCAAGAAACAGACATTGAGGAGAATATTCGCGCTTCCTTAGCAGGGATGGAATCTATATGTGAATTGACTAGAATGGTTGTCGAAAAAACAAAGGATTTAGTGGAGGAGAGGAGTCGTGAAGTAAAAAGTTTAAGTGAAACTGTTTCTCGGTTAGTGAAGGAGAAAGAACATATTGGGTCTCTGCTGAGAGGCGCTTTGTCAAGAAGGACATCAACAGATTTGTCATCCAAGACTAATGAATTGTTTAAAGTTGCAGAAAATGGATTGAGAGATGCTGGGATTGATTTTAGATTTAGTAATCATCTTGGGGGTGGAAAGGATGCTTATTCCTATGATAAAGATGATGCTCCAGAGACAGAGAGAGATGAAATATATGCTTTGGTAAGTGTTTCGTAGCTTCGAGTAATGTTTTGAAAATCTCATATATTGTTGTTGGTTGAGGTATTAATTCACTGTATTCAGGCTGGTGCTTTGGAGAATATTATTAAGCAATCTCAGCTTGAGATCATAGAGCTGCAGCATTCAGTAGAGGAGCTAAGGTACTTCCCTTTCAACTTACGTTGTGTTGCAGGCTGTTGATTTAACAAATTCGTGGTTTGCCCTGGTGTCATTCTATTATAGATTTGCAAATATTGATAGATTCGGAAAATGGATAAAGAATTTTTTTGAATGGGGATAAAATATTATATGTGACATAATAGTGGACAAGATATTGAGACATTTTAATTAATTTCATTCAATATCTTAGAAGTAATGAACAGGCATGTGTTGAAGTAATGAACAGGCAGCATCAAAATGATGCTTTGATGAGCCTCCGATTTGCTTTCAAACTCATTAGCCATTCTGCAATTTGGATTTTTAAGTTTGTATTATCATTTTCATCTGTTTCATTTTACATGACATGTGTTGGAGCAAGTCACCGTCCAACTTGTTTTTAAAATCAATTATCAACCATTCTGTTTGGACTTTTGAGGTTATTACATTGCTTATATTTGTTTCATATTACAGCTCATTAATGGGTTTTCCAGTCGCTTAGTTAAGTTGAGTTACTTCCATACTTGTATTTCCTTTAGGAATATCCTTACCTATAGTAGCTTCAGACCTTTACTTATTGGGGATTGTTTTGTTTTGCAAACTTCTTTGATGGATTAAGGGTAGAGGCAAGTTTACTTAAAGAGAACGTCGAGGCTCAAGCAAAGGAGCTCAGCTATAGGAAGCAATGCATAGAGGAACTTGAAGAGAAGGAGAGAGTGGCAAATGAAAATGTGAGTTACTAGTTGCCTGCAATTCTTCTTAGGTCAGAATTTGGTACCATGCGATTAATTACTATTATTTCACTCATTTATCTGTGTGCAAGTAAATATATAAGAGAGTGATCTGTAGTCTTTAATATTCTTGCATTAATCCTGCAAGTATCTTAAGGAATGCATAAATTGTCTATATCAATTTAATGACCATATCTATGTTTTAGGTTGAAGGACTCATGATGGATATTGCTGCTGCTGAAGAAGAAATAACAAGATGGAAAGTGGCAGCACAGCAGGAAGCTGCTGCAGGCAAAGCTGTTGAACAAGAGTTTGTGGCACAGGTATGCTGAAATAGTTAGTGGCACAGGATCAATTTTTGCACTTACTTTCTGCATGTGATGCTACTAAGTCTTACACTTAGCTTCAGCCAATTCTCACATGCTGACGCACAGTGAGGCTATTAAAGTAAAGGCAATAGTACACAGCAATTTCTAGAATGAATCCCAACATTATATTGCACCAAGTAAATATAAGGAAGTCAAGGGAATTCTATTACAACACTCACCAACACTAGAATCCTTGGCAAATAGGCTACAATCAATTGTTGGCGGTTACAAATCACCATGTGCATAGTACCACGTGTCTCTGCTGTTGACACCTCCAACTGCCTAAGGTGTGCTGAACCAATCCTAAGGCTGCCAACAAGTAGCTGCCTCTGCAACTGCTGCCAGCTGCCCCTGAACATCAGCCCTGTACTATCTTAGCCACATATGGAGGGAGCCACCAGACAAGCATAACCGCCTTGTTGTCAAGTCACGGCATGGAAACACAACCCACAACACTCGACGCTTTGCTATCAAGCTAGACCATGCCAAATAATTGTATATCACCGACAAGTCATATTGCATGCTCTAGGCATTCAGCCCAAGTCCAACCTTGTGCCATGCATTTTCCATGCTGCACATTGCATTGCCACTGTCTAGTCCCACGTTGCCTTCTAGGCATGCCTTCCTCATGCCTTGATAGGGTGGAATGGGTGCGAGGTAACACCACATTTCCACCTTGCATTAGGGAAGCTAAGATAAGCTGAGAGAGAATAGATTGAGATGGTTTGGTCATATACAATGGAGACCAACAGAGGTAGTAGTGAAATGATGTGATACAATAACGGTGTTAGGGGAAGGGGTAGACTTAGATTGACGTGAACTAGTGTAGTAAATAGATATATGAATCTCCTTAATTTAAATAACCAAATGGCCTTTGATAGGGTTGAGTTGAGAAGAATGATTTATGTAACTAACCCTATTTGATGGGACTTAAGATTTGGTTTAATTTAGTTATTTGAGTAGTGCTCTTTTGGTATGTAAGTGCTCATTAATCTATTGACTTTGTCTTGTAAACATTGTGCACAACCATGAAAGATTGTTTGGGAGCTACCTCAAGGAATGATGAATTTTAATGGCTGGAATAATTTTTAATCATTTACTGATGAATTTCATAGTACATTAACATTTTTTTTTGGCAGCATCCATAACGACACAAGGAATGACAATATTTTTTTTCCATGGGTTTGTTTATATTTCAGTTTAATTAAACCATTTGTTCTTTTGCAGTTGTCAGCCATACGGCAGGAGCTTGAAGAGGCAAAGCAAGCTGTAGTAGAGTCAGAGAAGAAGCTGAAATTCAAAGAAGAAACAGCAGCTGCTGCCATGGCAGCAAGAGACGCTGCCGAGAAATCCTTGAGATTGGCAGACTCAAGGGCATCTAGGCTGAGGGATAGGGTTGAGGAGCTAACCCATCAGCTCGAACAGCTTGACACTAGAGAAAACACAAGGCGCCTAAACAGGCCCAGATATGTATGTTGGCCGTGGGAATGGCTTGGGTTGAACTATGTTGGTTTCCAAGGGCCCGAAGTGCAACAACAAAGTTCAAATGAAATGGAGCTCTCTGAACCCCTTATTTGAATATACTCTTTTTTTTTTTTCTCTCTTTTTTTTGTCTGTCTTTTTTTTCTTTTTCTTTTCTGTTCTTCTGTCTCCTTTTGTGTATTTTTATTATCTTTCAAAATCAAACTACCACAAAATGGTAGTTTATAGCACATTCTTTTTTTTTTCTCCCGATGTTTCCTTGTTATTAGGCAAAGTTAATTGTTTTTGTGTAATGTACAAAGTAAAAATTTGTAGTGTTAGAGGTTCTCTTCTTCTTCTTCTCTTCGTTGTCTTTTTTTTTTTCCACTATGATGGGGTACTATGTAGTCAAAGTGCTTAAATTTTTAAAATTTGTTCGGTTGTAAATGTAGGCACCATTGGACATGGCTCTATTTTATTATGGGAAAATCTTGAATTAATGGGACACTGAAAAAAAAAAACAAAAAAATCATCTTTACAAGATGGAAGTCTCTCGTGTGTGATGCAAGTCTTTTTTTCAAGGAATTGCAAAAATTTATTCTATTTGGCATCAATTACATATCCTGAAAACGACACAAGTTTTTTTTTTATGTCAAATTTGCAACATCTCCATCAGCCTCCTACCTTCACTACAGCTGCCACATGTATACGACCGGCACTGCCAGTACCACACAACTACTACTTGTGCCACCATCACTACCACCCCACCACACCTAACTACCACCACCACTGGGCACAATTCTCACTGAAGTCTCCTCACGTGCCCTTTTGTAACTGTTTTGTGCCTCACTCCTCACCTCCTTCAGTCGCTATCCCACCTCCGGTTGCCACCCCAGGCCTTCCTCGTCCCTTCTGTAGCCTCACGCTTACACTTTTGAGAGAGAGAGAGGAATGAGAGAGGTGGAAGGGTCACCAACACTAGAAAGCAATTGTCCAAAAAATACAAGACATCGTGTGTGAAATTAGTTTTCCCCATTTCATGTGTGGCAATATTTTCAATTTTTTTCCTCATTTGTAATAATTTTTTTAAAAAAATACATGGAAAATAAAAGGGAGAAGAAATAATTACCAAAATAGTAGGAATCTAAAATAATTGCACAATACATGAAAAATTTAACAAAATATGTTTACATTTATTGGTTTACACTCAAGTCCCTTGCAAGAATGCTGGGGATCTAAAATTATAGTTAAGAATAGCATTTATTCTTAACTAATATAATACTTCTATAATACAGGAGGGTTTTGTCCTAAACCCAGGTTAAACAATATGAAATTAACAAGCGTTGAAGTGTGAATATCAACGACAAAGACAAACAAGAGAGATTGAATACAAATGAACAAAATTATGGCCAAAAAAATAAAAAATAAAAAAAAAATAAAAAATAAAAGATGAAGATGAAGAAGAAGAAGAGAGAAAAGCACCCCCATAGTAGAATGGTTACATTTATCAACGTGTTGTTGTGCACTTCTTAGCAACCAATACCCCACTGGGAGGACCAGTGACCTCTATGATGCAATGGCCATACAACCAATATGAGTACCTAAAAAGACCAAGATTGGACCTTGTTCTCAACAAGCCCTTGACCTTAAACCGAACCCTATTGTTCTCTATCTGCTGCATTAGTTGCTGGCTTTCTGTTGAAGGCAGCCAAACCTGGCTGCTGACCAGACGAACATTTTGAAACATGGACTCAGCCGTCATTGACGAGAATGGATCAACATAACTGGTGGCGATGAGTGTGTTTTCATAGTAGAGATTAATGATCGTGTAATGGAAATCCACAGTGGCCTTTTTGTTTGGATTGGTGAAGTTTGCGAGCAGAGTGATATCAACATTCAGGAGGTATCCCATGTCGAGATAGACTACGTTGAGGGAGGCACCTGAGATGTCGAATGTTGGGCTTTGTGGGCGAAAGACGAGGTGGAGTACTAGAACCACTAAGCCTCCTAGGACCATGGTGATCCAGAAGAGCGAGCAGATGGCTACGATTGGCATTCTCAGAGACGAGGGCGTGTGGTGTGGCGGCTGGGCATACCGATTTTTGTCTAGTCGTTGCTGTTGAGGGAACTGAAGGTTGGGGTCATGCTGTGGAACTTGAATTTGTGGCTGTTGTGGAGCTGGGAAGTGAGGGTTGCTCTCCCAGGGCTGTGGAGGGAACTGAAGGTTGGGGTCATGCTGTGGAAATTGAATTTGTGGCTGTTGTGGAGCTGGGAAGTGAGGGTTGGTCTCCCAGTGATTCGACATTGGAGCTTGGAGATTGTGTTTGGGAGATGATGAGCAGAAATTGGTTCAATGAGAGAAGAATAGTGTTTGGCCTCAGAGAAAGAGAATGACTTATTGTGAGAGTTCATGAAAAGCCAAAGAATCAGACATTAGTTAAGAATTGGAAGCAAGTAATCCTAGTGACACTTTCTTTTTCTTTTTCTTTTTTTAAATGTTGTAACTGAGGAGGGTGAAGCAAACACTTCCTACTATTTTTGGGTCTCAAAGGTACTGACTCAACACACACACACACACACACAGTTAATGAAGAAAATTTTAAAAAATTGTAGTGCATTTCAATCAAAATTTACAAACAATATATAACATTTTTAGAAGCAACAAAGTTGAAGGCTGAAAACCATCCAGTCATGTTGGCAAGTAACATTATGAGTAGTAAGAATAAGCAAAAATTATAATTTTTTATATTTATATTTATTTTGAATCTTTTATATTTATTTCTTATTGTCGAGTGTTGAGAACTCATTTCTCTTCCAGAAGTTCTCTATCTTTCAAGACCTACTACCCCTTCAAGGAAGAAAAAAATGAGCATTTGAGGCTCAACTCACACAATTTGTAAATTTAGCATTGAAATGGGGACATCAAAGCAAGAGAAATTCAGGCATGGGCACTTTCTTTTTATTCCCTACACAAACAATGATCCAAGATCCAAACGCAACCTACAAGTGCAATTTGCATGCACATAAGAGGAGAAACTGATATGCATCTCAATAAGTTGAACCTCAAGACCATTCTTACATCTAATAATTGAAGGTTCTCAACCAGAGCTCAAGCATTGTATATATTCAACAGAGCTTAAAAGGGATATTCTTGCCCTTTATGTAAAAGGGCACATAACTCATTACACATTGAGATATGGGGTTGTCATGCTTATATATATCATTCCATGCTCTTAGAAAAGCAATTGTTGGGTCAAACTGCACTATTTCTCAAGACTGTTGTTGATCATGCGCTCGTGCCACGAATTCTTATTACTCCAACCATTTTCCTCAATTGGCAGTGCATTCGTGGAGTTTGGCGACTGGGCATTCACTTTATTTCCTGCAGAACCAACAAGAGAGTCACGAGGCCAGTAAAAACATATATAGCATTCACGACTTTCCACCCAATAGAGTAAACGTCCATTCCAGTTAGTTAGGTACTTTATGCGCCGTGCCATACTGTTCTCGTGGCTAGGATTCGAAACTCATCATCCCCTCTCCCTTCCCTTAGGTAGTAGCTAAGAAAAAACCTTACCCTCACCCTTGAGTACTCAGAGAAAAACTTACCACCCAATTTAAACCATTGAAGTGAGTCATATAAAGTGTAACTTTAATTTTCTAGATCTTAACCATTGAAGTGAACAATGATAAGTGTACCTTTTTTGGGGACATGTTTTCGTTTATAATTATTGCTTCGAGCCACAGTTGATATGGCAACTTCATTACGAACAGGACGGTCATTAACCCAGCCAGTTTCTACTTTTGCAGGAACTGAGTTGCCATGCTTGACAATCCGAACATCAACAAGTGTCGAAAAATCTATCTGCAAGGCAAAACATTATTTCAAGTATTTTCGCAAAGGTGCAGCAGCTTGGCTTCTGCTTGATAATCACTTCACTATTATTATTCAGTGATTAACTTATCAAAGGGAGTAGAGAAACACAAATAGCACGAGTACCTCTAAGGATCCATCTTCCCTATAAAGAGAGTTATCGGGTGGTTGTACCCATGCATCTCCATCTAGCTGCTTCTCAAAAATAAGTGGATATTCTGGGACTGGTGTGAGTAGAATAGTATGGGATATAGGATCACACCGTGATGTTTTCCCAACCTAAAGCAAAATGAAAGTGTAAACATGCTATATTTGCCCAAATATGAGTTACAAAATCATTAAATGCTATCAGAGGTATACGCGGAATGAGCAAAGATCAGGGGTCCAGGTTGGTGATAACTCCAGTAGACGATATGCAATCACATCACCTTCCTGCAAAATAATATATTTAGTGCTATCAACTACGTGATACAGTGGGAGCCAAGAAATTAGCTAAGGGGGGAAATACTAAGGCAAATTATTGAGTCAGATCGATTTGGGAGACAGTTCATTTTGGTTTGATTTGGTAAAAAAATCAATTATTAATATTTCAAAACTATTCCAATATCATACATATCACTACAATAAAACTATTGCACCATTCAAATTTGAAGTACTCTCAAAGATTAAAAATTAAAATAAAAACAAAAAATGGCAATAAATAACATAATAAAAGGAAATGACCTCTTAGATTTATTTGTGAACCAAATAGAGAGTCAACCTATGTTCTATTTTAGTCAGTGGTGTGTTCTGCTTATTGGAAGGAAAATGGAAAAAATAAAAAACAAATAAAAATAGGGGGCACCTATATAAATGTTCAGGGAAAAGATTGAGAGAAAAAATTCAAATTTATAGGCTAAAATGAAATTTTTGAAAAGTTGAGGGAAACATGCCCCTCCTGGACCCATGGCTGCGCCACTCATGTAGAATGTTTGCACCCAAAAAAAAGTACTCTGCAGGTAAATTAAAATCACAGATAGTGAATGTTACTCAGACCATCAAGCCAGACTTGAAAAACAAATTGCGGTCTTAGTAAGGAGTAGGACCTTGAAAGGTTTGAAAAATGAAGGCCACCATACATCCATTAAGAGAAGACAACCAAGATCTATGAAAGCAAAATACACGCCATGTATTTATGTATATATACAAATATCTATGAAGCATGAATACTTCGACAAACATGCCATACTCGTACTGGATTTTACTAAACTTCTTTTTTACTTTTAATTAGCATGATTTTAAAATTAAATTATGGTTTGTAAGTTATTTAATATAATGACATTTAATTTTAGTTCATACTTTTACTTTTGACATTAAATGTTAATTGTAGGTTGTATCTTAATAAATTAAGTCATTTAATCAATTTTTGCATTACTCCAAATTAAGAATAAATCAACTTTCTTGGTTATGGTTTTCAGAAAATAGTTTTCAGAAAATTCTACTTTTTTATTTTCCGTATTTTAATGTTTTCAATGAATTTTTTTAATATTTTAAGCAATTTTTAAAAATTTTTAGACACCTAACATAAATAAACTTAAAAAGTATAATATTTGTGAAAAAACTTTAAAAAATACACTAAATACCAAAAAATACAACCAAAAAAAAAAAAATACAAAACAAAACAAAAATTCAATACATTTTTCGTATTTTTGTGTATTTATTAATTTTTTAAAATAATTTTTCACAAATATTTTACTATTTAAACACATCTAAGTAAGGCACATCTAAAAGAGTAAAAAAAATTGCTTAAAATTTTAAAAATATTCACTAAAAACAAAAAAATACAAAAAACAAAAAACTCATTTTTCAAAAAACTGAAACCAAACACACTAAATATTTTTTGACAAACGTACCAATCCGTACCTGTACCCTATTTTTTTTGAATTTTACCGGATCGACATACCCATATCGTACCAATACCAATACTCGTACTCGTATCCGTACCTGTGCTTCATAGACAAATAGAAACCTACCTTCGGAAAGCTAGTAAGTGGTGGTAGCCTATCAAAGTTAAGGGGATCATTTGAAGGTTTCACTTCTTCCACAGCCATCATTTCGGAACATTCTTTGTTGGAGTCTTTGTAGCCATTCCTTCTATTGGATTGAAAATTTTCTTTACCCCATTTTTGACCCTTTTTCTTGCTGGTGATTCCATTCCACTGAAATGTTTCCTGAAGCATGATTTGAGAAGAATTTATTGAGACAAATTCAGTCCCAATTTAAAAGGACAGAATGGGTATACGAACATGATATTATAGTTATGCCAGGCTGAAAAACAAGAAGACTTGTATCAGCCTGTAGCAGTTTTAATGGTAATTGATAAACACAACGATTGATCAAACACATATTGATGATAATGCACAGCTTGCATCTGTCAATAAACAGTAAATAGAAAGACAACCATGCAATGATGCATGTACCTTCATTTTTTGTTCTTTGGTTGGATAATAATTCTATTGACTCTTAAAAATTAAGTGATTTTCGAACAATGAGGTTCAAGAGTAAGAAATTGTATTATTATATGCATATTTGCCAACATATGCAGAGGAATAGTTAGCAACACTAGTAAACTTGACATGCTCATAAAGAACTAAGTATGCTTGCAATGTTTTAACTTATTTGAAGCCTAAGTTTGCCGGAACTGAGGGGAAAGTAACACTTAAACATGACCCATCCTGCTAAGTACATTTGCTTTTGCTAAAACCTCTTCCCACCATTCTTCTGTATGGATCAATATTTATAATATGGAGAAAAGTGTCAGCCACACATACAATCATTTGGAAGATTTCTTTTGGTTAAGAAGGCAAGTAGATAAATAGGAAGATAGAATGCAACGTATCACTTCAACAAATGAGCATGCTGGACAACAATCAACATCATAATTCATAAAAGAAAAAATCGCAACTCAAGAATACATTCAAGATGGAGAATTGATGAACCACCTTCTAATCCATTGCCAAGTGGCAAGAAAAATGTGGGACTTCGGTTCTTTTTTGGTTTGGGGTGGCGAGGACATTCCCTTATGAGATAGTTGAGCTTCTTCATAGCTAGCAGGGAGCTAGAGTGAGGAGTAGAGAAAAGCAGAGTCTAGTGATCCCCTTATACCTAATATGGATTACATGGGATAAGTGATCTTTCGAGGGTCTAGAAGTTCCATTATTTAGGCTCAAGAGCTGTCTTGTAAATTTTTTTTTTTGGGTAGGAGAGACAGGAGTTGTTACCCGTCTCTTAACCTATTTTTGGAATTTGTTCAGCTTATTGTTAGATAAGAGGGAGGCTAGGGTTATCTGTTTTGTTGTTTTTCCTTCTCATCTTTTTTGTAAACAGGCAACATTCCCCCTTAATGTCATCTTTTTATGAAACTTGCGTTTTACTTGCCAAAAAAAAGACAGGATTGATTGTTCAGCACAGAAGAAAACAAACATGAAACATACCACAGATACTTGACTTTGCTGGACAGCCCGGTCTGCATTTTACAAAACAATTTTGATATATTAGAAAATCTGCAGAAATATTGCATGCATGTAGTTGCATAATTTCAAGAAGTGAATAAGTAACATCAATGGGAAATCAGATTAAAGTAAATGGCTGACAGCATATCCCAATGTCCCCTGGGAAGTGGGGAGGAAAGAAAAAATAATAATGAAAATTTAAAATATTAGCAAATAAAATCACCACAAAGGTTTGGAGTAATTCAAGAAATCCAGATCTCACTTCTAAAATCAATAACCATGTAATTTCATAAATCATAATGATGAAAAGTGATGACAGCAGCCAATACTTACAGAAATGATTGCTATCTGAGAAATAGTTTATCATCATAGTAATGCAGTTTTGAAATATGCAAGTTCCCCAATAATGATATCATGATTCCATGCAATTAATTTCAAATCTTTCTATTCTTCAGGCAACACAACTTCTTACAACTTTTCAAAGGGGGGTCAAATATATAAAGGCAGATGGTCAAAGTTCATCTAATCAAGCTAAATTGAATAGTTTGTCAACTACATAGCACAATGAGAAGGCAGCTTGAGATTCCTTTTTCTGTTCCTATTAGCTTTGAAGACATTCAGGCAGTAGTTCAAACTTACAAGACAAGCCAGTTGTGCTAAATGAAACAAGATGACACATCTTTCCTGCTCCCAAATTTTCTCACCAATCAGATAAATCTAGGTAAATCCAAACACATTTAAATAGTGTGATGGACTAGGCACAGAGAGAGAGAGAGAGTCACCCTTTCCCAGAGGCTCAAAGCGAATATGTCCTGGCCTAATTACAATGGGAACAATCTCATCATCTGCTTCACCATTTTGGCTTTGTTCTTCATGTTCTATAGAATCCTTGGGCATATGCTTTTCAGGAGATTGCCTCTCACATAGCTGCAGGTTTGAGGCCACAAGCTGTAAAAAATGATCGTGTTATGTAAAGATGAACCTTCACAAGCAAAAGGTTCCGTAAGTCCTAGCGTCTACCTCCTTTTCAATTCTTTTAATTTCCCGCAGCCATTGCCTCTTGGTTTTTTTCCGTCGAGCACTTCTACTAGGGACCTGACATAAAACATCAAGTAAGCATTAGTTAAACCACTAGGTTTTGTTAAGTACCAACACATTGATTTATTAACTGAAATCAAAATTTAGACGTCAGAAGTATGAGAGAAAGCTAAATTAAATTAAAATATAAGGCGACAAAGTGACCATTGAGAATATGAATGTCAGATGCTCTGTTATCATAATCTTACAATTCACAATACTATAAACAATTTGAATTGATGTGAATCTATAAATGGATCTATTTTCAAAAGAATCTATGTTCAATTCATATTTTACAATTTATGCAATGCTTAAATCCATTGGTTCTGACATATTTTGAACCCATTTTACCTCTTTTTTTGGTAAAAATGTTTGAATACAACTTCTAAGAGTGTTCAATACAAAAATAATCAATACTATGCAAGATTTGTTGTTATTTCGGTATTTAGATAGTTTAATAGGATCTGATCAGATCTATTTAGGCCCTCCAAATACTCAATACTTATGGGTCAGTTGTTATTGTGGTAATTAGATAGTTTAATAGGATCCAATCAGATCTATTTAGACCCAACATGTCCACAAGTTTTTTTTTTTTTTTTTTGGAACAATAAATATACACACCTTTTAAAGTGTTCTAGATTTTAAAATAGAGGGTTCCACTTACTTTTTCTTCTTACTCTACACTACTTAGGATAAAGCACATCTCTATTTACAGGAAAAAGAACTACAAATATGATTTAATTTTGAAAACTTTGAGATAGCCATATGCTTTTACAGAAAATTCCTCTGCAATGATATGGTTAAAATATTCCAAAAACTCAAGCTGCACGGCAGAATGCAACCACCTTTGAGTTGTGAAAGCTCATCAACACACAATGACACGAATAAATACTCACAAGGTAATATGAAATACAAATATTAGAATCATAGAGTCATCACCGAACCTTCAATGAGAATGAAACGGAAGACTGCAGTAAAATATTGGTGACCCAGATGGGAACACATTGATTATAAATAAACAAATTTCCACATTTAATTCATCATCCTAATTCCAACACGAGTCATGGTTTCAGCAGAATAAGTAAAAAGCGAAAATTACTTACATATGGATGCACAAAACAGTCCCACACAAAACCACACCTTTTTTTTTTCCCTTTTTGTTTTATCAGATAAAGTAAAAGTAATACATTATAAGATATCCATAAGGCTATGCAGTCGTATTGAACCTGATACAAAAACTAAATTAAGTTCCAATTTAATATTATTTTTAAATTACCTTTTCTAGTGATTTCAATGACATTGTAAATCAAGGTAACTACAGTGTTTTGCTTATAAAAGGCCTTATTATATCACAGCTTTAGCCATTCAGGAAGAACATTATTATGATTATATAAAAGAACAGTTCACTTCAACATGAAACGACATACTAAAAGAGTTTAAAACTAACTAAAACATTAATTTCATTCCAGACCTTTTTAGTTCCATCTGGCGTGTGAGGTGCATCAACACATCCTGCTCCATTTTCTTGAAGCTTACCAAACCTACAAAATAGAGATTTTCATGAGCCAGAGAAAGATGGAGAGGAAGAAGAGGGGCTCCAAAAATTAAGCTACAAAGATGGACAGTAAGCATAAACCTACTAAAACAATTAATCTGCTTCAGTTTGTTGCATACATAAACACACACAGAAGAAAGAGACGGCCTTATATGAAAAAACAGACATTATTTGCACATTTATCAAGATAACTAACACTTGAACTTCTGAATTGTAAATCCAAGATTTGGCAAGTCATTGCACTCAAGGACTTCAAAGCGAAATCAAGTTAACTAAGACTTGAACTTCTGAATCACAACTCCAAGACTTGGCAAGTCATTGCACTCAAGGACTTCAAAAAGAAACCAAAAATCTCATAAGCTCCAAAATCTAGCACAGCAAATGTTTAGCTGATATATTTTCCACATATGCTATGAATTATAATGAGAAAATGCAGAAAAGGGACTCATTTTATCCCCGGGCATTATGAGTGTGTATGTGTACTTAAATACATACATTGTTGTGTTGCTCATATGGTTTGAATTTCATTTAGTGTTGAAAAAAGGTCAACAACATTAGAATTGTTAAGTTAGGAAATGGGCCCAACAATGTATATCAAGACATCTATCACCCTCCTTCACATGCAACCCCGTCTTGTATGTGGAGAGATAAACAAAGAACCAAACAAAAGGAGAAGCAAACAACCAAACAAAGAAAAAAAATACAAATGGGATGCTAATGGAGAGAGTTGAACCCAAGACCTCACTCAACCTAAGCTCTAATACCATGTAAGTCACCAATTGTCCCAGAAGCTTAAGCTGTTAGGAAATAGGCCCAACAATGTATATCAAGCTAACAAGAATTTCTGATTGACTGCATAAAAAAGTTTATACAACCCGTAGCCAAATCCATATCAAAGTTAAGAGTCTCCTAGCCACTCAGCAATAACATGTACAAATAGCAAGAGACAACCTTATATGGAAAAACAGACAGTTTGCACATTATCAAGATAACTAAAACTACAAATGAATGAAAAAGCTCAATTAAGTTGTGTTTTGCACCTCAACCACATAGCATCATCAGATCTACCTCACCAACAAAAGTGAACAAATTCATAAACAACAATATTAGTATAAAAATCAAGCACCAATCCAAATAAAAAGCCAAAAAACCTACACAACACACCTCTTTGAATTGGGCAAAGGTTCAGCAATGTCATTATTTCTTTCAGCACTTCTAGGGGTGCTCACTCTCTTAGGTTTACTCTTTACAATAGATACTTTCTCCTTTTCAATACTCTTCCCACGGTGGAGGACATCATTGGGACAGCTCTCATTCTGGTCCGTTTGAAAATCATTTTCAATATCTTGAGGAACCATAGTACGTTTTTTCTTCCTGTGATCCAAAATGTGAATAAGCAGTTGACAGGCCCAGAAAAATGCTCAAATAAAGTCCTAAAAGAATGATTCAAAGAAAAAAAAAATCCAAAGATTAAAAGGATACATCAGTTGGTAAATTAAGGAACAGATGCACTTACAAAGCAACGACAGAACATTCGGACATGTTACCAGAAAACGCTAATACCCTATCTAATTACGTATTGGTAGGTACGTTCCCAAACATGGTACACTTTATTTCAAAACGATAAATTTAGTGATCCAAAACGATCCCAAAAATTTTTTCCAATATATTTCCTTAAATGGTACCTTAAGAGAAAAAAAAAATCAAATATGTGAACTAAAATCGAAGGTGAGTTAAATTTTGACAAGACAAAAAATCCAAAATGGGTCATAATTAATAGAAATGATTTGCTACATGAAAAAATATATATATATTGGATATCTAATAGTCAAAAGAAAATTACTTTAGAAGTACCTTAAATTCTTAAATATAATATATATAAGTCTGCTCCTATCATACTGCATTTTAGAGCATGTGGCATATCACATTCACGTTCTCGTTCCCGTTTCATGTACCGAAACAATCCACGTTCTAGGTAACATAGTTATTGTCAAAACTAATTTGATAGGAGATACAATTAACTTCCAAAATAACAGACAGGAACCCTATAAATGCAATACTCAATGTTCAAGAATTTTACATAAGTTGATTAATAAATGAATTTTACATAGGATGATTATAATCTATATAATTTTACTTTGGCCTCCATTCAATTTTGCATATTTATAACATTTTGGCCCCCAAGATCTATACAATCTTACTTTGGCCCATACAAAAATCTAAATAATTTTACCTTGCCCCCCACTTCGCCGCTGCCTAGGAGTAGGCGATAAGTTAGATTTAATTTGTTCATTGACTGTTTCATCTAAGCAGTCAATTCCTATTGAAAACTATCATCGAAGAATCAATAAAATTGTTTGCTTGTTCCTTAGATTGCCAGTTTCCTTGTATGTGTTGGTTTCCAATTTTAGTCCAAAGTAGTCTCAAAACAAGGCAAGGAACCCTGCAGACTCCTCTGAGGGAGAAACAGATTAAAAACAACTGTAGTTACCATTATTCAGATCACAATAATAGGTTTGAAAGATGGGTTAGCATACCTTGAGCTCTGTAGTTTCTTTGATGCTTTTCTTTTCTTGGAAAGCACATTGTCACCAAATGAATTGTCCACATGCAATGTATCCCCTGACACATTATCTTCATCTTCTTCAGGTTCACTTTCAAAATTGCCAGTCTCCTTTTCAAACTCCCCGTTTGCTAGAAGTGGCATACAATTCAGCACAGGTTGCTTCTCCACAATTTCTTCTTGCTCAATTAAATTTTCTCTATCACTTTTGTCAACAATCTCAGAGGACATTCCCCCTTTTCTTTTGACGCTGATACAAAGAAATAGGATTAAAATTGCATACACTAGTTTCAATACAAGTGAACAGTAAAAAAAAGGAATATAAAGTTCAAGATTAAACAGACCTGATTACATCCTTATCCTTTAAAATACATGTGGACTCAAATGGAGGCAACACAAAGCCATCCATCTGCAAGAACATATTAATGTAAGCAATGCTAGGGATCCCAAATGCTTTACCAAATATTCTACACAATACTCACAACCATGTCATGTGGGTATTGTGTAAAATATTTGGTAATTCATTTGGGTCTCCAGCATTTTTGTAGTTGAAAGAGCAGAAACACCACAACAAACAAACTCTAACATACTTGGTCCCTAAAATGGAAAACAATTAGTTTTTTAGGATGAACTTGCATAAAGGTTGGGCAATTGCTTTTCTAGCAGCTCTTTTTGTTGATTTTTTTTTCATTTTTAGTGAATTTTTTCTTTAAAAAAATTTAAAAGTTTTTCATTTGTATGTTATACCAAAGTAGACAGACCCAACAAGTTTTTTTTTTTTATTTTAAGATCCACTAAAAAGCTTTAAAAAAAATTATTAAAAAAAAAGTCTTTCCCCCCCCCCCTTTCCCCCCCCCCCCCTTGTGTTTTTATCTTTTAACTTTTTTTTAGATTTTCTTTTAAAAATATACTTTTTTAGATCACTGTGGACTAGATGGGGACTGGTTTGGTTAAAAAAAAAATTGTTACACCCAAAATACAAAAATCGACAATCGTACAATCTCCAAACTAGTAGCAGCAGATCCATCAAAACCCTAGTTAGTTCAGCTCCAAATTACGGAGTACCTAAAAGAGTAAACTTTTCTAGCTTCTTCACCATGCAAACTGACATCAATCTCACCGATTCTCCAAAATAAACTATGCAATATAAAAGAAACAAGATAGTACACATGATTTTTGTAGAGTGAGTGAAAAACAATCGATTGCTGCAAATTGGGGATTGTGGAGAGAGAGAGAGAGAGAGAGAGACTTACAGAGAGAATGATACCATTAGGGCAAGAATGATGGACGTCGAAAATGTGGGTGAGATAGGTGGAGAGATCAGAGATATTGTGATGTTGAGGTTTGAGGAGAATCCAGCTTTGGTTGAGTCCTTGGGATTTCTGGGCTTTGCTGAGAATGTGCCGATCTTCGAACACTACACAGAGTCTTGTAGTGTCCATGATCGTCCATGCAACAATCAATCAAACAAACAGAGAGAGTGTGTGTGCGATTTCAGAGATGATTCTTGTTTCAAAGTGTTCTTCTGCTGGTCTTGCCCTTCTTAAACCCTCTTCGCCAATTTTTTCATTTTAGAAAGTCGGTTATACTTGGCTACTTGTCAAATTATAATTCACTTCCTCCCGCACAAAAAAATTAATTATACTTATTTTTTCAAAATAACTCTTAATTTTATATTTGAGTTAAAAAAATTTAAAAAAAAAAAAAAAACCTTCTCAATTGGGTTAGTTTTAAACCTCAGGGGGGTATCTGTAATTTTGTCAAACCTGGAGGGGTGTATATGTAATTTGCCCTTTTTAAAATAAATTTTAAATTATATTTTAGAAAGTATGTTATTGAAATGAGTTTTAAAAGTTAAATTACGTGTTTTGAAAATAATTATTAATTGATTTATAATTTTTTTATTTTTTTAATTATGCCTCGTTTGGGAACAAGTTCTTTTAATAACTTTTTGACAAAAATGTGATGTAAAAAAAACTAATATGTTTAGGATTAGGGCCATGTAAAATACTGCTCAATCTGCTAAAACCGCACCGATCCACATCAATCCACACCGCTTTAACCGCTAACCGCGGTTTAAATTTTAAAATTTATAATCCGCCAATCGAACCACTCCGCTCCGCTATAGTTAATACGTATATATTTTTTAACTTCTAATGAAATATCAATGTAAAAATGAGTGTGAGAAATATTTAAAACATGAAATTTATTACAAATTAATGGTTATATCTATGAAACATATTATGTAAAATTACTTTGTGTTATATATCTAAAAAATATCATACAAATTAGTGTTATATATTATGCAAATGTATGATAATTAGTTAGAATATTCTTCAACCCGTCAATCCGCCAAAAACCGCCTAAATCGCAATTTGTTAATCCGCTAACTCGCCATTCGGTTTGTAATTTTACTCTCAAACCGCCCGAACTGCACCGCGCACCCCCTATTTGGGATGACTTTTTAGCTTTTTACGAAAAGATGTATAGAAAGTAGAGAGAAAATTGAATATTTGACTTTTTAGTATAAGTTGTCGGCTTTTCGATTTTTTTAGTAACCTTTTGACTTTTGACTAAAATTGGCACTTGTCAAACGAGGCCTTAATTAATGTACAGAATGTGAAATAATGAGAGTTGAGAATTAAAAAATAATTGATTGATTTATTAATAATAATAATAATAAAGAAATAGGATAGAGAAGAGAAGAAAAAAAAAATCGAGTTGTGTTTTTAAAACATGTTAATCAAACATGTTTTTAAATGTAACAACCCTCATACTGTTTACTGATTAGGGACACTATTTATTTACTGTATTGGCTTCCGCCAGGCCCTGTACTCTGTTTTACTGTATTACTGTTCTGCAGGCCTTCGGTAATCTCGGATTACTGGCCGGTTACGGTACTAAACCCATAGGGCCGGGTTTGGGTCGTGACATTAAATTTCTTTCATTCAAATCATGATTTGAAAACAAAATCAAACACTACTTTTATTTTTATACAAAATATAATTGATTGATTTATTAATAATAAAAAAATAGGATAGAGAAGAGAAAAAAAATAATTTGGAGTTGTGTTTTTAAAACATGTTTTTATTTTTTATTTTTTATCAAAATCATAATTTGAAAATAAAATCAAACGCTACCTTTATTTTTACATAAAATATTAGATAAGTCATAGTAAATATTTTTAACCTCTATTATTTAATTTAAGCTTGCTTTGCGTATGATTTTATTTGCTTATTTTTTAAATTTATTATAAAAATACGTACAAAAAATATAGATGTAATGTGACTCAAATAAATCAATAAGTCAATGCATTATATTTTTTTAAATGTAACAGTTAACCACATTGAATTACTTTGTTACACTCCCAAAATCTAAATGGAATCAAATCATGCATAAAAAAAAAACGACATACCTATTGATTTTGGGGAAAATTAGTTTAGGGTCCCTCTCCCACTTTTTGTAATGGAAGAAATCCACAACATTATTTTTTGATGTCTAAGGTCCTAAACATATATCAGAGAAATTTGTCTTCGAATAGTTCGATTTTTGACTCTTCAGTTGCTGCCTTGGGTTCAGTTGCCATTCTCAATCAATCTCTTACAAAACCTTGCCTGCAAGTGATAAACAAATTGATATAGAACCTGAGATAGATTTAGAACTCAAATTTGAAGACTTTTGAACCCTAAATTTTGTAGAATCAAGGATAAATGTAACATACATACATACATACATATATATATATATATATATGCTTGATTGATGATAGACACAAGAGAATCCACTTACAAGTAACAGCGTATGAACTCTGCGAACGATTTGTCTGCTTGGTTCCACTCTTCACATCACAGCGCAAGAAGAGCAACAGACCCACCTCGAACGTGTATAACTTCGGGCCTGGAACAGAGATGGACTAATCTCGGCCATTGTCCAGACCTACAATATCCTCCACATAAATACCAGCGGCACCTCATAACTGGAGTGATATGGCAGCTGCTTGGAAGATACCTCCATACAAAACCCAGAGAATTTCAACAGATAAATTCTTAACCTAGAGAAAATTCAGTTCAAATGAAAAAAAAAATAATCGAAATAGACATTCTGTGAGCTAAATTACCAGAGAAATTCTCAACCCGTAGAAAATTCTAAACCCAGAGAAAATTCAATTCCATTGCCAAATACTCCTGGATGCTTGCAATTCACTGTTGCGCTTTGCCAAAGCTTCTTTCAACATCTTCAGAGAAATTTGGTTAAAACACATTATGAAAACACATTTGATATACACATTTGATATCACGAGAAACAGTATCGCCAGAAAAATTTGGTTAAAACACATTATGAAAACACATTTGATAAATTCTGAAGTCAGAGAAATTTGGTTAAAACACATTCCGAAGTCAGAGAAATTAATATTTCTCTGGAGAGAAATTCCGAAGTCCAGAGAAATTTCCAGAATTTCTCTGAAGAGAAATTTCTCTAGACCAATTTTCTCTGAATCAATTTTCTCTGGATCAACTCGAGGGACCTTAGACATTATGAAAATATTAAGTGTCCTTTATGCTGTAAAATCTTAATATCAGGGACCTTAAAAAAAATTCCCCTTGACTTTGTGGGATAATAATACTCGTTATTAATTGTTTAGGATAATAGTGATCTCATTTATACTTTTTTCTTAAAAAATCAATAGATGTATCCCGTACTTTACATATTATATGATTTCGTATAAGTTCTTAACATAATTCTAACAAAATGAGTTACTTGTAACTAAATAATAATTTAAGGTGTGTAAGCTTTGTAATTTAAGGGGACAAAATGCAAATTGATCATACCTTAAAAGGGTTTATTGTAATTTACAGGATTGTGCAAAATACCGTTCAATCAGTTAAAATCGTACCGATCTACATCAATTTGTACCGCTTTATTCACTGTTTAAGCTTTAAAATTTGTTGCCTTCGAAACTATTTCGCTCCGCTATAATTAATACATATATATTTTTTTAACCTATAATGAAATATTAAAATAAAAATGTGTGTAAAAAAAAATTTATATGTGAAATTTCTCACAAATTAGTAGTTATATATATGAAAAATATTATGTAAAATTAGTTTGTGTTATATAAAAATATATATTTTGCAAATTAGTGTTATGTATTATGCAAAGGTTTAATAATTGGTTAGAATATTCTTCAATCAGTCAATCCGCTCAAAATCGCAATTTGTCAATCCGTTAATCTGTCATTCGATTTATAATATTACTCTCAAATCACCCAAACTGCACCGTGTACACCCGTAATAATTTACCATAAAATATTTTAATATTCTAATTATTTTTAAAAAAAACTTTTATTTATTGCCAAAAAAAAATCATCAAATTTGATAATAAAAAAAATATATCTGAAAGCATCTCTAACCTCTTAACAAATTTTCCATCTAATTTGATTTTAAATTTGAATGACAAACTTAATTTGATATAAATTATTTCAATTATTTTATCAAATTTTGATCAAATTGTTTTTAAAAATTTATATCTTATCCCAAGTTTTATTTTTTTCATCAAATTTGATAATTAAAAAAAAAATCTAATGCATCTTTTTAAATTTGATAAAAAAAAAAAAATTCATGTGTTTTTAATTTGATGAAGGATTTAGAGATGAACTAATATTTGATGGTTCAAGCTTCTTATCAAATTTAAATTTAATAGAAAGTTTGACAAGTGCTTAATTTTAATGAAAAAATTGTCTCTCTAGATTTGATGAAACGATAAAACATAATTGGGTAAATTACAAAAAAAAAAAACCAAAGGTTTAACCCAATTAACAAATCAAACCCTACCTTTTTAATTTTATCAATTTAAACCCTGAATTTTCAATAAGATTTCAATTCCAATCCTTTGTCCAATTCTGTCAAATACAATTAACGGGGAAGGGTATTTTTGTCAATACATTTATCATTATGTAAAAATATTTGTTACAAATTTGTATTTACTAATAAAAAAAAAAATGAAACCTACTCTCCCCTTCTCATTCACTACTACAGTGCGACCCATCGGCACCAACAGGTTGCCATCACCCACAACCCATCTTTATATCTATTATCAACAATTCTCTTCTGCCACCACCAGTCCTCAAGTCCACCACTCCCTACCATTTCTCTCAGATCCATCATGGTTCACTCTTACATAAATATGGCAATTTGAACCCAGTCCGATGGGGACCCAATTCCCCGACCCCGAATTGAACGATTTTTTTTTTCGAAAAATACTCCCGACGGGCCGAGGATAGTATTAAAAAATAAATCCCGATGATATTTGGATCGGGGACGGTGACACATTTTTCAGCCCCAGTCCCGGCCCCGCCTCTGTCCCCATCCCGTTTAGCCCCCGATTTATATATATATATATAAATATGTGTTTAGGGTTTGGTGATTCACTGCCACACACAAAACAAACAACCTCTCATCTCTCTCTCTCTATCGTCTCCCCCCCTCTCTCTCACACACACAACCGCCGCTCCTCTCTCTCGCGTTGGCGTCAGCTCCTCCATGTGTTTAGGGTTTGTTCTTCAGATCTGAAAATGATGAAA